GGCGGGGGAGAGGCTGTGCATGACGTTGAGCTTTGCTCATTCTGTCCTGGCCTTTGGTCCAGGGCACCTTCTCACTGCCCAACGGGGGCATGTGCCCATGCAGCTTGGCATGGCTCTGCCACCGTCAACCAGCCGGCCACACACGTTCTTGCCCTTGGTCTTTCTGAACATCAGGGGAAGGGATCTGTTCTCTCCTGCTTTGCTCTTGGGATTTCTGCCTGCATGGATATTTACGTCATATCATTATTTTTACAGGGAAGAAACGTAAGCAGTAACTTGTTGCAAGCACTGCTGGGCAGATGGATCACGGAATGCTCTTGACCGCCTTACAAAGGAGGCGGAAACATGGCAGATGAGTCTGATTCCTTGACCTCATCCTGTGACGAGCCAGTAAGAGGTAAAGTGAAGTTGGGCGCAGTGATTAAAAGATCATGAAACCGCAAACAGGCAGTTATCACATGAATTGGGGGGGGGGGTAGGTTTCAAGGAAACCAAGATCAGCAAGACACTAGAGTCAAGGTCAACCAGAGGACAAAGAGGACAGAAAAATGGGGAGGGGAGGGGGGAGGCGGCTGGGTTTAGGAAGACTAAAGGCATCCCCAGACCCTGTTTCTTGAATCCCAGAATCCATCAAAGTGACCCCCCCCCACCATCCACACTCTTCTTCTCGCTTATGTCTGTTATTGGCTCTCCCTGTGACACGCACCAGGGCAGTGCAGAAGGCCAGCTGTCCACCAGCTTCCATGAACAGGCTGTGCGCTCCAGGTCAGTCCTAACACGCTGACCCCTCATCTCACGGTTATCTCACCGTGAGGTCTGCACACCCCGGCATCTCCAGGCCTCTCTTCTCATTCGGTCTGCTTTCCGGTCTTTTCAGTTACATGCACTTCCCTCAATCACCACCCCAACACACACACATACGCAGCGGTGGTTGAGCGAGAGGCTCCCTGCCTTCCACGCAAGAGACCTGGGGTGAATCTCTGGCGCATGCACCTCCCCCGCAGCTGCACCCATCTGTCAGTGGAGGATTGCATGCTACGAGGAGGCTAAACTCGTTTCCATGGAACTTCCAGACGAAGGCCAGTGATCTACGTGTGCCAATCAGTATTGAAAACCCAATGGACCGCCAAGGTCTGAGGGGCAACCGGCACACAGGAAGCGTTTCGAGCCGTTTCGGCATGGGGCTGCTGGGCAAGCTGACAACAAAGAGCATTCGACCAGACTGGGGATTGGGTTTTGTGGTTCTGTTCAGAGTTCTACAGCTTTCTGGTCACTTGGACTTCCTTGGCTCCTCATTCAGGGTCTGACACTCAGGAGATTCAAGCAGATGGGGCAGAGCCATCCGGTTGCTATGGGTCAGAACCGTCTCAGTGGCACTTAATAACAACGATGACAACAACAACCAAAGACAGTGTGAAGGGCCCTGAGTGGAGTGAATGGTTGACGTTCCCTTGCTGATCGAAAGGTTGATGAGTCAGACCCATCCAGGGGCAGCTTGAAAGAAAAGTGCAGGTGATGTGTGGGACTCCCCTAAGCTGCCAACCAGAAAATCCCAGGACACAGCTCTACCTGGCTACCACAGGGGCCACCATGAATTAGAGCCGACTCCGTGGAGACTAACAACAAAAGAGCAAAAGAGCAGAGTTCACAAAGCATCAGCATCCCTGAAACCCAGCTCCATTTTCTGTCCTTCCCCAGGCAAGCCGGAGGCTCCCTCCGGGGCCATCAGATGTGGGGCTGAGGTTTTCTTTCAGCTTCTAAAACAACTCCGGATGGTGAGGCAGGGACCCAAGATCTTGGCCCAGCTCTGCCACTCCCTTGCCTCTGGGGGCCAGGCAGATGTTCTCAGGATCCACCCTGCTTCTGACAGTCTGTTGTCTGTGCAGTGGGGCCTCTGGCTGTCCTTCCTGAAGGTCACGGACAGTCCACAGGGGTGGGCGTGCCCACTGTGCATGAACACTTGCTGATCCTAACCTGGGAGTTGATTTCCCTCTCTCCGCTTCAGTCCTGTCCAGCCGACGCTTCCACAACCTCTTCATCCCCAGTCCCCCCTCCCCACCCCCCACCCAGCCTGGTCCCTGAATGCCCTGGTGCCCATCGGCTTCTCCCACCTCAGTTGTGCACATTGCCATCCACACCCCCCCACCCCCGCCTACTGAGGCACAGCCACAGGGAATCCCACCCTGGGAACTCGGCCTTGACCAGCCTGCGCCATCCAGCAGCGAACAGCAGGCTGCCAGCATGCCTCATCTGCCCATTTTAGGCGCACAGGGTCCCCATGTTCACATCGCCTTAAAGCCCAGCACATAAATGCTTGACAAACACAACTGACGCGTGGGTCTAGAGAGCAAGCAGCCTGCCAAAGGTCAAATGACTGACTCGTGACTTCAGCAACCAAACATGTAAATGTTTACTGTTGATCAAGTGCGCTGATGCGGCTGTGGGAGGGCAGCATCAGTCTGAGATCTATCCGTCCTCGTTACTGAAGGGGCTCTGTTGGCGTTGTGGGTCAGACAGTGGGCGGCGAAGCTCAAGGGTGGTGGAGGAGGAGGAATCTGCCTGCTTTTGGACACCCTGCAGAGTCACTGTGGATCCGAACAGACTCAAGGCCGGGGGTTCGAGGCTGGGGCACTTGTCCGATCAACGCACACCACGCAGAGCTCTGTAAAGGCTCCTCGCCATAAATTACAAGGTTGATTTGTTTCAAAACACAAAGCGTCACAGTTCAGTGGGCCTTTGGAAACTGCCTAGCCCTGCTCATTTCGGCACGGAGGAAGGGTAACCCAAAGGCAGAGTATGGATCGCTGGCGACATCAGGCCTAGACACCAGCACCCTGGGCCCTGTATCCCCTGGCCTTCAAACCCAAACCCGCAGGAAGAAGCTGGCCCTCTCCCAACACGGTAATGAAAATCTCCTCCGGCCAAAGGGTAGTGCCTGCCCACCTTCACATCCTGCCAGACCCCAGGTCAGAAGGCACACGTGGCCGTGGGCAGCCACCCTCTCAACAAAACAAACACAAGCCTGCTCAAGGCAGCCAGCAGGCCAACACACACAAGCCAAAGCACGCGCTCATGCCAAGAGCCACAGAATCACGGTTACCTTCGGGGATGGTGGTCTTCCATCTGGAGAGGACCCTGGTCCTCCTACCGTTGGAATCCCTGCAAACCAGATACACCTAGGAACTGTGGAATGCCGAGCAGCCTGTGGGCCGTGCGCCCCCCTCCTGGCCAGAGGGCTGGGTCTGCACCCAACTAGAGGTGCCCCCGAGCCAGCCGGGCCTCTGGCCTGGCCCCAGCCCCCGTCCGGTGTGGCCTGCTCTCTGGCAAACAAAAGCGGGGGACCCTGGGAGGGGAGCCTCTGCTTTTGAACAGCCTTTGTTTTTGTTTCCATTTTGAAAGGTTAGTGGCTTGACTGTGTGTGGAAAGAGCCGGAGCGGTTCAAAGAGGCTCCGTGTGTTTGGGAGCTGACCAAAGACACAGAGCCTGTGAGGGCAGGCAAGCAAGGGGAGGGAAGAGAGAAACGCAAGTGGATTCAGCGTCCACTAAGAGCTGAGCCAGACAAGCCTCGCTGCTCCTTCCATGCCCTCCCCAAGGCTAGGACGGTAAGAAGCCCTCCAGGATCAAGGTCCAGAGCCCTGCCCGCAGGCCATCACGCAGTCGGCTGGGAAGCAGGTCTGGTGAGGGAGAAGAAGCAACAGTTGGATAGTACAAGATCTGAATCATGAAATGGAACGATAAAACTGGTACAGGTTGAATTGTTTAATTATACCCCTCTCCCCAAAATACGTATTACATCCTCTCTACATTCAGTACTGTGGATACAATGCTATTTTAGGAGAAGCAAACAAACACAAAACTCACCGCCGCCGAGTCAAATCTGACTCACAGACAGGACAGGAGAGAACGGCCCCTGGGAGCTTCTGAGACGGTAACTCTTTAAGGGAGTAGAAAGCCCGTCTTCCCCCCAAGGGGCTGGCTGGTTGTTTCGAACGGCTGACCTGGAGGCTACCAGACTAAGGGGCAACCACTACCCCACCGGGGCTCCTCCACTCAAGAAATGCACGGCTTTGAGCTGATCGGCACAAGAGCAAAGAAGCAGAGATGGAAGACGGATGCCAGGACACATGAAGTTCACCTGCGACCCGGGGCAGATGCTGAAAAAAGGCAAAGCCCTTCCCCCACAAGGAGAGAGAGAGAGAGAGAGAGAGAGAGAGGTGTCACGGGCCTGAATTTGAACTTCTAGTTTCCTAAACTTTGAGAAAACCGATTTATGTTCCCTAAAATCACTTGCTTGTAGTATTTCTGATCTAGCGGCACTAAGGAACTAAGAAGAAGACTGGCAGAGTGGTAAGGCACTCAGCTGCTAACAGCAAGGTCAGTGGTTCGAACCCACTAATCTCTCTGCAGGAGAAGGAATGTGACCGTCGGCCTCAGAAACCACGTCAGGGCGTTCCATTGTTTTCTATGGCTGATATGAGTCAAAAGTGACACAATAACAATGGAGTCAAAGTTCCTGGATAGACTTAGACAAGACTATAAAACAGAACTCAAAATCGTAAACAAAACAAGGCTTCCTGGTTGGATAGAGATTGGGGGGAGCCCCAGGACGATGGCCGTTATTCACCCTTCAGGTGAACTCACTCCTGTGGAAGAATAAGCAGCCATTGAGCACCTAAAGGGCAGCATTTGCCCGACAACAGAGTGCACAGGGTTGGGAACGGAGGAGAGTTGGAAACAGGAAACACAGGGAAAACGCGGAATACGTGATGGTGGATGGAGGGGATTGCAATGGAGGAGTTGAATCAGGATGTGCATGAAACCGCTGAATATAAAATGACCTACTCTGTAAACCTGCACTAATTCATGATAGAAAGCTGAAAAGAAGGCTGCTCCCCAAGAGCTAGAGCGGGAGCCTTCCCGTGAAGCTGGTGCCCCGAATGCTTACAGACTTCCCGCCTCGCCTCTTGAATTGTGCGAAAATACAACTTGTTCTTGAAAGGCAGCCACTGGTGGCATTTCTGTTGCCATAGCACTGGGACAAGAAGACAGACGGACTGCATCAAACTCCAGACCACCTTGTGGTAACCATGGAGAAAGCTTTGCCAGCCTGTTGAAGGTGGAGGAGCAGAACTATTGACCAGATATCCCTACTCTGGAATCGTCTATTCCAAACTTACGTGAGTTTAATAAACATGTTACTAAAGCTAAACACAAAACAAAGATAATAACAATATCCATGGTGGTTCAATAATGATGTCCAAATCTTTAAATAATTTGCTTTGGTAGTTAGATGATTTTATGTCAATTAGACCCTCCTGGCTAGGGATGGGGTCAGGTTTGTCAATCACATCAAAGCCTGGTCCTGTCTCCTTGGGGGCGTGGCTTTCTCATAAGGAAGACCCTGAGAACCTCCCCCTCCTCTCTCGTTCCTACTCCACCTTCCTGCTTGCTGGGGCTGGGTCACTGACCCTGAAGATTGCCGGAGCCCAGCCATATTTCCACTGCCCTTGGATCCACATGATTGGCACCCATGGGCCTGCCATCGCCATGCATTCTGCATCATTGGTTGTGCTGCGTGAGTCTGAAGAGGGACTTAGGGACTGGTGTCAGACGGATGGACTTGAGGTGCACTGGGCTAGGGCGCTTTCTTGACATATAATTACTTCTTGATATAAAGCTCTTTCTTAGAGATGAGTGTACTTGGATTTATTTCTCTAGTCAACCCAGGCCTAACACACATGCCTTACTTTTTTTTTTTAATGCATTAGACTACCTTAAAAGGACTCCTGGCAGCACAGTGGTTTGCCTATTGGGTGGCTAACTGCCACGTCGGCAGCTCAAATCCACCAGCCACTCTGTGGGAGAAAGATGAGGCTTTCTGCACTCATAAAAATGTACAGTCAAAAGTACATTTGTGTACACATATGCCTACATACCCTGTTTCCCCGAAAATAAGACAGTGTCTTATATTAATTTTTGCTCCCAAAGATGCGCTAGGGCTTATTTTCAGGGGATGTCTTCTTTTTCCATGAAGAAGAATACGATACACATGTATTGTTGAACCCAAAAAAAAGGAAATTGATTACCTGTATACAGTACGGTAGTAGTTGTCATCACAAACCAGCATAACCAGACAAACTGTGAATTCGACAGTATCAAGAATCTCTTGTTACCACCATTATTTCCATGTACGACAATCTGTGGTACATTTACTCATTTAGTCAATGACAGTCATGTCATTATCTTCTGGAACATCATCATAATTTTTCAGGGAGGTCTTATTTTCAGGGGGATGCCTTATATTTCAGCAAGAGGCAAAACTGTAAGTAGGTCTTATTTTCGGGGGATGTCTTACTTTTGGGGAAACAGGGTATGTCTTTATCTATGTGTCCATGTTGGCAATCCCCAGCCTGATAGCTACCTATAACCTTTCCATAAATAGTGTGAGAGAAACTATGGTTTTATGAATGCTGGAACATCCAGGCATGATTTTAGTGACTACAGGAATATTTTAGCATGCAGTCTTCTTGGGATTTTTTTTAATATGACAGTCATCTACATCAAGGAATAGCAATTCTGGGCCCTTGCATCAAATCTGGCCCAAACTGGTTTGTTATAGCTGAATAAAAATCAAAAGAAGCATATATCATGCATGAGAGGTGAAAACTGTATGCAGTTCAAAATGCAGTGCCCACAAAGTTCTCCTGAAATGCAGCCACACCCATTCACTTACGCATTGCCTGTGGCTGCTTGCCTGCTCCAAACCATGTCGTTGGCAAAGCCAACGACGTCTGCAGGGAGAAAGGGTGCTGACCCCTCCCTGAGCTAGACAGAAGACGGCGTGGCCGACGCGGTGCTGATGCCAGATGAAAACACTCAAGACATATGTGGTCACATCCAGCACCCGCAGCTTCTCCCCAAAGACGTTATTTTAGACAGGGTTCTCTGGAGAAACAAAACCAGGACACTAATAATTTTATATATATTTAGATAGATAGAAAACATAAGAAATAAACAGTTAAGTAATCTATAAAGCAGTACAAATGGCTCAGTGCAACTCACTTCTGTGAGACGGCTAATACACTGGCAGTCCTTCAAGTCTTGAAGGCCGCCAGGTAGTACTCCGTAGAGCAATTCAGACTATCAGGCCACAGGCAGCAAACAGCAAGGCAGGTCACCAACAGTCAGCCAGATGGCAGGGTCCAACAGTCCCCAGCTCAAGAGATATAAATTCCAATTATGTGGCAAAGTAGGTCTTGAAGGAACCTCAAACTACAGTGACACAGTCCATGGGTTAGGTGTCCTACAGGTAGTATAGCTTGCAAATTGAAGCACAGAACAAGCAAGGCAGCCACACATTGGACCGATGATCAAAGAGCAAGAGAAAAGAAAGGCAAGACTCGCCGAGCCATTTATCTCTCCACCCTTCAATTAATCCTATATGTGTTCATTGGCAATAAACCTATCACAGGTGTGCTAGAACTCCACTGAGAAAGTCAACCCCCCAGCGTGAGAAACCGTGTGGGCTACTGATAGGTCAGTAGCTCGCTGTACATGGTTACAGACAATGCTAACATCATGAAAGTCAGGTGTGTCAGTCTGGGTAGAGACTAGAGAAAGAAATTCATAGACACTCATGTATAGAAGAAAGGTTTATGTACAAGAGCAATTGACCATTGAGAAAAACGTCCCAGCCCAGGCCAGATCAAGGCCATAGCTCCAATATTAGCTCATATGTCACATACCAATCTACAGTCCTCTTCAGACTCACGAAACACATGCAATGATGCCAACTGCAGGAGGATCACAGGCCAGTGGGTCGGAAGTCTTGTGGATCTAGTGGCATTGTAAGTATCTCAGTGCTGGCAGGGGTCTCCACATGGAGCTTCTCCAACTCCAGAGGTCTGGTTGCATCAGGGTAGGTACATATGGCTTCTCCAGCTCCCGGGGTGTAGTGCCGTGTGCCTTGTCAGTAGAGTGTCATCTCAGGGGGTGAGTCTTAAGTACTGTCAGTAGAGCATCTCTCAGAGACTGAACAGAGAGAGAAGCAGAAGTGTCTCCTGCATCCAAGGAGGAAATACAGGAGTTCCCAGAATTCCCAGGAGAAGGCCAGGCCCACAGAGGCTTCATTGGTTATATCTTGA